TGGACTGTGGGAGGAAGCCGGAGAACCCGGAGAGAACCCACGCTGCACGGGGAGAACATGGAGACTCCACGCTGGTTCGCATCCTCACCGGGACGTGAACCGGTGACCTTCTAGCTATGAGGCAACGGTGCTAACCACTGTTCCACCTTGCAGCCCTCTTGTCCTCTTTTTCTAAAGTATTTTTATGCACATTTTGAAGCGTCATGTTAGTTCATGTCAATGTAAAAATACGAAACATTCCAAATTTTGCAAAAAAAGGTTTCTATGCACGCTTCAGGATTTTTTTGACTTTGTTAAAAAGATGCACGTTATTGTGTCACATAAGTAATGAGCTGTTTCCAGACAGCATGAAACATCAAGCTGACATTAAACAATAATGACAAGTTTCCAGATTTGAAAACAGTTTATAGATGGCAAAAGTTTCATGTGTTTCTTCTTCCTCTTTGTTTTTTTTGGGTTTTTTTTAGCAGCTGGAAAACAGCTGGTTTTCTTCTTGGGCTTCTTCTACTCTGTTTCCTACAGCCATGCAGTTTATAGCGCCCCCTTTTGACAACAGTATGCACTATTTTTATTGTAAAAGTTTCTTCAGAATCACTCCACAGTTATACGGAGCTTTCCCAATGATTACAGATTTTTCTGGCTCTGAACATTACTGCAAAGAATTTAGGATAATCAAAGTCAAACAATATACATACATATTAATCAAGTTGTTTTTAGACATTTTAATGCAGAAATGTTGCGTATTAGAGCTTCAAACACTGAAATAGGAAACATTCAGCTATCCTGTAACTGTAGATTTGTTATTATTGAATTAATTAATTTCACCAACAGCTACACAATCTGATCACACTGACTGAGACGTCAAAGACTATAATAATTCTATTTATCAGTTTTCATTGAGACCTACAGCCTGCCATGATGAAACATAATAAAACATGTTAAGCATTAATTATACATGAGACCCAACAGATCATCAATACGTCGTACCTTTCCTAACGGCGTGAAATAGAGGAGGCTGTGCAGAGTCATCCATCCCAGCAGGACCGTTGGGGCCACTGGGTCCCACAGCTGGTCCTTGGACGGGAGAGGAGGGGGCCACTGGAGCACGCCGGCCTCAGGAGACCGACTCACACAGATCAGGAACAGCACCGTCAGCGGGAGAAAGACGGGGATGCATACGGCACCTGAGAGACGGATAAAAGTGAGACGACAGGCTGAGTGTGTGGACGCAACAGCCAGAAGCACCGAAGGTACAAAAATACACGAAAGAGCATCTGAGGGAAACCAGGAAGTGGAGCTCCTGCCTGGATAGATTGTCTGTTATATCAGATTAATATTGCAAACACGCTGTGAACAATCAAAGCATCCGGTAGCAAAACACTCGCAAACATGCGGTTCAGTTCGGTGTTGCCAGATATGAGGTCTACGGAGAGCGTCGCCGTCAAAGCAAAACATGATTTTAATTTGAAAACTTGAAACCCAATCGGCGGAGATGCTCAACTCAAGGAGCGCAGCAGGAAACGAGTGTGTGTTCCCTCACACACACCGAGGAGCTGCGACGGATCTCAGCTCATCTCTACAGTGACACGTGTGACTGTGGCGGCTGTGATGAGTCCTAATTAGAGCTGCAGTGAACAGTCCTGACGGAGCTGAAGGCCGTGAAGCTGCTGATGTGCACCTCCAGAGAAACATCTTTTTATTGTGGTGAATGTTTTATGATCCACTAAACAAACTGATTTGTGCAATTTTAGAAAACAACAAATCTACACTAAACTATAAATGATAACTGACAATATCACCACTTTTAAGACTCATAAAATCAGCTTTTATTCACTGAGATGCTGCTCTTGAGGATCGCCTTCAGTGTGGTTTGTATAGAAAAGCAGCTTTTAGCCGAAGGGCAACAAAAGGTAATGCAATCAGTGTTAGCGACAGACGGCATGAATGGAATGACTGAATGAATAGGAGCTGTATTGCTTACAGCACATTCTGCTTCACGATGCGACAGTCACGGTAACGTCGTCTTGAATAAAATCCAAGCTGCTGCTGCTGCTATGACTCACCCAGGGTTCCTCCAAACTCCCTCTCCGTGTCATGTGGTAGCTTGTGTTTGAGCGCTTGACTGCTTGGTCTCATTTTTGCTGTCCTGTGGAAAAACAAGAGTAGATGTCAGTCAGTTTGATTCAATTTTAGATTAATCGTAGCAACTGGACTTGCTTGAGTTCCTTGAAGACGTTCCACCTCTCATCCAAGAGGCTTCATCAGCTCTGACTGACTAGTTGGGAGTTCCAGATACTTATATCCTTCAGGATCCTGAGTTTTGGTTTCAGCTGGGGATTTGTTGCTACGCCCCCTCATTATGTGGGTCATTAGTGGTCCCCCTGCCACAAAGGGGTTCGTTAGGGTCTTTTGTGGCTAGTTGTGGATGTGGTTTCATCTTCCTGGGGAGAGATCTTAGGACTGAATTGTAAACAGGTGATGCCTCAGACCTCCACCTCTGTTGAGGGATGGTCTTTCCAGTTAGATGGCTTCTTTCACCCCTCTCTCAAACCATCTGCCCTCCCTGCAGGCCAAAATCTGTTGTCTTCAAATGAGTGTCCTTTGTCCTTGAGACTCAGGTGTTAACGGCTCCTTAAGGATATCAGTATCTGGAACTCCCAACTGGTCAGTCAGAGCTGATGAAGCCTCTTGGATGAGAGGTGGAACGTCTTCAAGGAACTCAAGCAGTTGCTACGATTAATCTACCAGAACAACCAGGACCTGGATGAATGAGAATCTTCACAGACATGTTTATTTATATGGCGCCAAGTCTCAAAGCTCTTCACATCGTAAGGTGAAGATAAACCAAACAAGTCCAAAGATTTCTTCTGATTCCCTTGAGCTGCACTTCAACAAACGTTGAGATGGAAACAGCATGTTGTAAAAATTAGAAATCGGGATGTAAGAGCCTTCTGATGAGCTACTTTACAGACATTTTCTAGAGTAAATCTTATCCCACAGTGACAATAATCCTTAATATGTTCTGCAGGAGCATAAATATATATCAAGACCTTCTATGAACAGGTGCATCCTTTGAGTTCAGAACATCATAAGAATCATTACAGATCCTTGTTTGAAGCTGTGATGTAAACTAACTACAACACACTGACATTTATTACACACAGGAGTATTCTGACCGCATTATTTCTGTGCACATTTTCCAACTCTAAACACTTCTTGCATTTTTTATTAACATGTCCTTGCAGTGCGTCTTGTAGTTTTCCAGCTCAAAATACTGCAAAGCTGCTTCACGTCACTGTCATGACGGTAAAACCCCCGGCTTCATCAGCTCAGGTCGAATGGGCCAATAACAGAGATATAACTCTATTTATGTTGTGAAGAGTCAACGGGGTCACAAAAAAACCCACGGAGAGGAAAAAGGTGCAAATTACCTGGAAAGGACTTGAGAAAAATTAATGTGACGCTACAAGGAAGTCATTATCCTCAAGGGCCGCCATCTGAAACCGGCCTGAAGTGTCCAGAAGCACAAAGCACTCAGAGACATGGCCGAGGTAAAGAGGGCCGAGCCACGACCCACGCTGGATAAAACCCTCAAGCTAAAGCATCAATACTGAGCCGAGTTTTACCTGCAGACGGATTTTTTTTTCTCTCTCAGAGGTTTCATGGACAGATGTAATGAGAGAGACCCTGGATGCAGCAGAGGAGGACGACTGATAGAAGCTGCTAGGTAGAACTTGTAGGCCCCTCTCAATTACAGTAAGAGGAAGCTATACCCCTGTTTGAACAGCATTTAGGAGGCTGTGGTTGCTGAAAGTTCACCATGAAAAGATCAAGACACTGACAAAGATTCATGGAAGGATGTCTGCACTGGTCACTGATTCTTTTCTAAAATAGAAAAGTGTTGTTGTCATTTTGTGTTTGTTATATTTCCTTTTTTTAAAAATTGACTAAACAAGGGAGTTGGGGGGAAAAAAAGTCCCCTAATAATTCTGCACACTTACAGCTGAAAACAGAAGTTGTATAAAAGGACAAAAATAAATAATTTTCCTCCCTGTCTGACATTAAATCAGCTTACAAACCAGTTCTGTCAGGAGGAATGGGCCAGAGTTCGCCAAACTATTGTGAGAAGCTTGTGGAAGGAAACACAAAACGTTTCACCCAAGTCATACAGTTTAAAGGCAACACTACCAGATACTAAGGAGATGTATGTAAACTTCTAACTTTGAAGAAAGTGATTTAAAAAAAAAAATCTCCAAAAAAATTCTCTGTCATTATTCTGACATTTAGCAAATAGAAATAATTTTGGTAATCCTAACTGACCTAAAACAGGAAACGTTTAGTCACATTTAATGTCAGATAGTGAGAAAAAAAAGGTTATGTGTCTTTTTATACAGCGTATGTAAACTTCTGGTTTCAACTGTAAGTATTCTACCTACAGAGATGGAACTCCCTTATCCTTTGTTTAACACTCAATTTTTTGAGGTTCAGTAACATTTTGGATCGACTGAGGGCGAGATGTTTGTACTATACAGTTTTTATGACACTATATTTACCAAACAGCCATAATTGGGTGACAAATTAAAGGAAAACCCTCATCCTGTGGCTCTGCTCTGCATCGAGAGGTGTTTTGCTTTCCTGGCTTGGGTTCGCTTGTCTCCTTAAAGTAAAGTGTCCCTGCTAATAATAATAAAAGCCTCCACCCATTGGACAGGAGGCCCGTACGCCTCACAGTCACCACATCTCAACCCTTAATGAACACCCACGATGGATTTTAAACCAATGTGTTAGACGGCGCTTTTCACCACCATCGACAAAACACCAAACGAGGGAATATGTTTTGGAACAGTGGTGTTCATCCCTCCAGTAGAGTCACACTGAAGTTGTTCTGGCAGCAGGTGGTGGCCCAACACCTCACTAACAGACTTTATGGTAGTTTCTCCTATAATTTGTCACCTGTTTGTACGAATATCTTACATAGTAGAATATAAAACTCTAATTATAAACCATGCATAGACATCCATAGGCGTGTTTAGTGACTGTTGGACCTCCTTGAGTTTCCTGCAACAAGACAGTGAGACACCTAACCAAGAGCTAGTAAGACCTCTAGAGGGTAGTTAAAGATCTTCTGCTTCTTCCACAGATGCTGATGGAGAGCATCCCTGATTGAAAGACTATGTCAGACACTTTAAGGGCATTGTAACTGTAGTTTATCACAAATAGACAATCTGGCACTACATAATTAACAGAACTGGAAGCATATTGAAGCAAGAGCAAGTTAATGAGCAATGAGACGTTCAAGGGTCAACAAAAAGTACTGATTTCTGGGTGAAACAACATTTTCAGAATGAATGAAATCCCTTCAGCTGTTATTCTGTACACCAGCAGTGTTGTTTTTCCTGTGATCAATGTCATAAATGAGTGAGACAAAGTTCAACCTGCAGGGACGCTTCTATTATGAAACATGAGGCCGTTCAGTCTGTTTACCTGCTGATCACATGGACGCGAGAGAAAGTCAAGGCTTTAAAAATAAAATAAAAAATACAGCAAATAAAGCAAGTAAAGAGCAGATGGTTTTGTAATCGTGTGGGTTCTTACCGGTGGATTTAGTGGAAGTGTTCCTGACTGTGCGCATCAACTCCTGCGTGTCCATCAACCAGCAGCAGCAGCAGCTCCAGCAGACACGCCCCCTCCAAACCCCACGAATCGCCTCTCAGCCAATCAGATCCCTCAGCGGCCATCAGAAGAGGGTGGGAACAAACGGGTTCAGCCAATCAGACGCGCTGCTCGGGTGGCGACAGTCCGCTGTACCTCCGGCAGGCAGAGCTTGTGAAATACACCTGAAGTACGTTTACACCTGGAAATACTGAACTTATGAAGTGTCTGATAATACTGAGGCTGCAGTGAAAATATAAAATGTGCAAAAGTCGTACTAGTAGCCCCAGTAGGTTTGTTTTATAATGATTATACATTTGCATTTATCAATTAAAATATACAGGAATTATGTACTCAGTATTAAAAACAGAAAACTCTCTCTACAGGCTTGAGGTTTTTAGTGAGAACTCCCTTTGCACTTCACATTTGAGCGCATAATGTGTGATTTTCAGCATTAATCTTGTTTCATTCAATACATCAAACGATTCGTACTGATTGTTCTGAGCTACTTTTTGTTATGGTTGTATGATTCCAAATGAGGTGTGAGCCACATTTTTTGGTGTTGTAAGCCTGCTAATATAGACAGCACATCATGCCATTCAAAATCCTGAATATTAGACACTTAAACAAGCATAAAAACATAATTTTGCATGAGCATGCTCAAAGCAAAATAACAAACTCTAGGCTCTGTGTTATTCAGGAAAGAGGAAATTTATAGACGATAAAGAGGGAAAGGACAAAAAAAGGAGTGGAAGCCATGAAAACTGAGCTTTCTTTGGGTTTCTTCTTTGAGAAATCTGACAAAAATCTAGCGAGGAAGCTGCTTAGCAGGAGGGATAGAGTAGCCTTTTCAAAAGGACAGCGCTAAAAGGCTGTAATGCAAAAGATCACAAAGACTGAAAGGAAGATCAATAGAAGAGTCCTGTGGGGTGATCGATCAAAATCCAGTTGTTGACAACATGTGAGAGAAAGACTCAGAGAGAGATACAAGAAGGAGAGCTGGCGGCCTTCAGTGAGACATGATGGAGGGTCTGTCAGGGTTTAGAGCAACAGTTCAGCCAGCGGTGACGGGATATTGTTCAACGTGATGGGATCAGAAACACTGAAAAACACATCCAGATCCATCATGCCATCGCCTCTGAAAAATGTCAGGTTGGAAAGAAGTTGATTTTGCTACTGCAGAAAAATCATTTTAAAACAGCTGATGAACGAGGGGCAGTGATGGGTTGGCCACCAGAAGAGTTCATAAATGAGTGTTACAGAAGCTGCATGGGATCATCTGGGCAGAGGACAAAAAGAAGGAAGATCTAAAGAAGACGTCTGACAAGCGCTAAAGGAAGCTTTGCATTTATACCAAAAGCTTTAAGAAAACTAAACTCGGGTTGGTTGGAATGAAAACGGACTTTTGTTTTTATGTGTTTATAAAACTGTGACTGTATTTTCTTGTATCTTAATAGAGAGACTGAAAAATACACATGTAATCCCATTAAAGCATTGCTAACACAGCAAACCTACTGGCTGCCTTCAACCTTTGCACAGAAACTTTGGATCGTTGGTTCAAAGTCTCCGAGGTCTATGTGCTCTGAGATAACGTGTTGGTGCCAAATAAACAAAACTGAATTGAAATTAAAGTTAATGTAAAGAAGAAAACACTTTTTGAATCCCACATTCATACACTTTTATTTTAGGACAAACTATTAAACCGTTCCTCAACATACTATGCGTCCGTGCAGGTGAGCACAGAAAACCGAGAATCAACCGAAGGCAAAAATCAGGTAGTGTTACATATAGATTATATAATCAGAGGACATTCAAATTATTCAGCAAAAAGACCCCCTTCAAAAGATTTATTAATACATGAGACTTCCACAGGACACAGCTTTTCTCTTTAGTCATTAATATTCCGTTTTCACATCCAACAAGTTTCCTTCGAGGGGACGATGTGCTAAAACAGTTCGGCTTGTCTGCTGATTAATTCATGTGTTTCTATCTGTCCTTTCAGAGCAGGTAAAATGATTTATTCTGCTGGATTTTATGGTTTGTAAATGACAGCTTTAATATTAAACCAAAGAACTTCAGGCTCATGTGGGCTTTGATTACAGGGTCTGGGATGTGAATTCACCGTCAGTCAGTGACTTCAGTTTCTTATCAGAATAAGAGCCGAGTGTTGTTGTGGTTTAATTTTTAGTTAGAAGAATTACTGATATGTTTGGAGCGGTAACAGTGCTGTTCCTGTGTCAAACCCAAAAGTTAATATCTGTTGATGCAGTTTCATATTTTAGATCATGAGAATTGTAATCATTAAGGTTCAGCTGATTTCCAACAAATACGACAGCATTAATCGAGTGTGTACAACATTTTCACAGTATAATCTGAATTTTAACATTAGTAAATGTAGCAGGAAAAGTGTTTGGACTGGATGCATGATTCCAGTGTTTTCTGTAATTCTGCTGTTTTGCACTTCAAGTTTCAACCTCTTTCACAGATGACTTCGATCACGCTCTGCTCCATCGGGGCCGGATCCAGGCAGCGGTGGGCGGAGCTCCCCACGATCTCATCCAGCAGGAAGTGAACGAGGTTCTCGTCGGAGACGAAGCGCCATAAGTACATCTGCAGGTAGTGGCAGTCAACCTGGATCTGCTGCAGCCCGTAACGGCCAAAGGTGCGCAGGCGGACGCACTCCAGGAAAGTCTTTAAACTGATTTTGATGATTCCCGTCATCACGGAGACCTGTGGCAGCGTGGAGGTGAGAGAGTGGGAATGTGAGAGGTGTAAAGCAGGTTGTGTTAAATCTCTGAGCTCAGTAGTCCTGAGATGAGGCAAACTGGGGTTTTTAGAAAGAGAGGTGGTTTAAACTTAAAGCTAAAATGGTGGCCAGCAGGTTTAAACTCTTCCTTCCTGTTGAGCCTGAAGGAGCTGCCTGACACGACGCTTTCTTTCCTCAATCATGCAGTTGATATCAAAGAACATGTCAGAGTCAATAATTTGTAGACTTTCACATCTTTGTATTGTGATTATCTTTAACATGAACTCTTTTATGAGGATTTTTTATCAATGTAAAAACAGAGACAGCAATCTGTGGATCCATCCTCTGCTCAGAAGAACATCTACACATTGTCCATCTCTGTGGACTAAACAACTGCTCCACAAGCGCATGGCTCAGCACAGAAGAGCAGCTCCTCAGAACAGGACTCAGCAGTCCACCTGCATCTCAAGGACAAAGGACACTCATTTGAAGACAACAGATTTTGGCCTGCAGGGAGGGCAGATGGTTTGAGAGAGGGGTGAGAGAAGCCATCTAACTGGAAAGACCATCCCTCAACAGAGGTGGAGGTCTGAGGCATCACCTGTTACCAACTCAGTCCTAAGATCTCTCCTCAGGAAGATGAACCTACATCCACACCTAGACTCAAAGACCCTAACGAACCCCATTGTGGCAGGGGGAGCACTAACGACTCACATAACGAGGGGGAGGAGCAACGAACCCCCAACTGAAACCGAAACTCAGGTGTGAATGGCTCCTTTAGGATATCAACTAGTCAGTCAGAGCTGATGAAGCCTCTTGGATGAGAGGTGGAACGTCTTCAAGGAACTCAAGCAAGTCCAGTTGATTAATCTACAAGAACAACCATGACCTGTATGACTGAGAACTTTCACAGACTTCTCCATGAAGGCAGTTGTGAGGCTTTCAACCAGCTCCCTCGCATTGAAACATTTAGCGTTACTGTAGTGGTCCCTGTTTAAATAAAACACATCTGTATGAAGCTCGAGACGCACTAATGAATGAATAATCGTTTGTGGTGTTGTGATCGGTCGGGACATTATCTTCATAGTGAGCCCATCATGCTGGAGATGATGTGAATCTTCCTGAATGAGGATGACTGTGGTGCAGCTGAAACGACTCTGAGATTCTAGATGTAATTTAAAGGTGAGTTTTTAAAGTTTCATCTGTATTTTGTCTCCATCAGGTTACAGCTGAATAACTAGAGTTAAACTCCAACGTAATAAACTGCAGGATTCCAGCTCTATCATCCATCCAGGAAAATTCAAGGATGAATAAACTATTAGAATAAATAGACCAGAGTTAACATATTGACTCTTTTCTCCACTCCTGGGTTTTTAAAGATAAATTTCAGGGGTCGCAGTGGGATGCATTTATATCTCCAACTCCACTGGATTAAAATGAAGGCTCCACACTTTATGTACCCATTATGGTGATGAATGGCAGCATTAGAGCTCCACTGATGAGGCTCTTTTCTGTTTTTTTGTTACCCACACACTGGCTTTACTTAGAGTAAGCATACTCAGAGTTGACTGTACTAACTTTGAACAGCTCTTCTGGAATTAAATCCCAGAGTTTCCCATCTCAGCTGAGAGTTGATGGTTAAGAGTCAGAGTTCGTTAAACCTGCTCTCTGTAACGGACCCCTGAAGATCTGCACTCACCTTGTTGAACTCCACTGAGCTGAAGATGTCAATCCTCTCGGAAAACAGCTTGTGTATGTTGCTCAGCAGATTGGTATCCATGGGAGCACTGCAGGTAAACGAGAGACAAAGTGCTCCGGTGAATCTACAATTAAAGTGTGATTAAAGACGCCTAAAAAAAAAAAACAGGCCGCCTGCAATGAAAGCAACAGCAGCCATACAGATTAGCTTTCTGTTTGTTTCCCTTTCACACACAATATTTTTAGTCACTGAACTATGGCATTATTCTATCCTGGCACTTTTAAAAATGACTCAACAACGGGACAATAAATAATAATTACTCGTCTGTACATCTTACTTTGCACCGACACACTGGTGTAAACATACCAGAACGCTGCCAACAAACAAAAGAAACAGCTGAGGGCTGTGCTATGAAGTGAGGTTAGCGGGTTCACGAGATATGCTGAGCGAACCTAAAACAAGAGTTTTCAATGTCACAGAAGTGGCTCTCCTGGGCTCCTTGGCTAGATCATCATAGATGGATCACCATGGCAACTTATGCTGCACAGCTAACCTTCACTGGAGGAGGCTTATGCTCAGAGTTTGGGATTTTAAATCGGGTGCAAGAAGCACCTCCCTTTCTCTAATTATTTTTGATGAAGAAAATGGATGAATATTGTGTTGCTTGGTCCTGACTTGCTGCCAAATCTATTTTACACTGCTGGTACTGCAGCGAATAAGCACAGATTAGAAAAGTGATTGTTTGATTGGTATATATTACAGAGAATATTCAATCAATAACATTATTTCTCTTTGATTTGGCCAAACTTTTAAGCGATATCCTGCATTATGAGACAGTGTCAAACCTAAACGCACTTCAATATAAACATCATGTTAAAATATATAAAGTTTAAAGTGACAGAACTCTAATTTGCAGCTGTCACATTAGAATTAAACAGCTGCATTGAGAGTGCACTGAGGGCTAAAACAAACACATTAACTTACACCAATGACAATTTTCTACAAGTACTCCTTTCTTGTCAGTGATTTAAAAAAAGAAAAAAAAGTCTTCCTAACTGAAGTAGTCGGCACAAAAACGGTTCATTCTGGTGGAAGAAGAATCAAACGATGTGCCAAACACCCCCTCTGGTGGGAGCGCATGCAAAGCCTGAGGAAGAAAATCTGGCAGACAAAGACAGTTGCTAACCAACACACTGAGACCCATCTGATTAAGTTGTGTCAAGCCAGCTAATGCAAAGAAAGCCCGGCTTTGTCAAACTTGTTTCCCTGTCAGCTACTGCACCTTGGGGTGTAGCTGGCAGCGTAGCGAGCTTGCTGCCTGGAGCTGCTGTAGACGGAGAAAGTCCTTTTGCTGGAGTCACTGCTGTGCGCCTTCCTCACACCTTCTTCATACAGAAGACCCACCTGAAGCCAGTAGAGTCACAGAAACAGACAGTTCATACATGATAATTAACACATGTGCCCTGATAACACTGTAACCGTCATCCGAAGCGTCACCTGCACATCAATCGAGGTGGTGTCCTCTACGACTCGCTTCATCACAGCACGGACATTTCGTGGCTCGATGGTGTTCACCCAGTCTCGTGTTTCGACGCTCTTTCTTAACATTTGGGAGATAATCAGGCCCTGAACCTGGATGAACAAAAGTAAAACAAGAGAAAGGTTAACGTCCTGCATTTCTGGCTCTCTTAGTTCAGCCTTGGCTTTGTAAAGGCTGCAGATAAAAAACTACCTTGACATAATGGTTGAGTAGTTTCTGTGCTGCCTCCCTGGCTTCTGCACACAGAGTGGTGACAGGAGTTACAGGACTGTGGTGCTGAGAGAGAACAAAAAGAAGAAGACGTGTGGTTAGATGGCAGTGAAAGAGGTTACCTGTGGGAGTGAAACGGATTCGTTTAAGAGTTCAAAAACATCACAGATCAGTTGGATTTCTCACAGCCGATGACCCTGTGTTTCTACAGTGTCATACCTGCACAAGGAACTGCTCGTCTGTGAGCGTCAGAATGTAGGAGATGGTCGAGGTTTCGTAGTCCAAGCAGAGGCGAGACAGCAGCAACAGAAGGGCTGGAGGAGTCGAACCTCCTTTGTCTCCTGCGCTTTCACAAAACTGGCGAGAAGACTGACACACGAACTTGATAAAGCTCACCACCAGGCTCTCACGTACACCCTGGCTGCAGAACTCCCCCTACGAGGAGGACACAGACACAAACAGCTGTCACAATGTAGGGTAGTGATGACACAGGATGTCACAGATTAAAGGAAAATTTGAAAGAAACTCGTGTTATTAGCTCCTAGTGGAGTTGTAGCTCATAATTATGCAGATTAAAAAATGATTGAACTTCACCTTGAAGTACGGCTTGTTGGAGAACGTAATGTCCTTCGCTGTGAAGAGATGCACTGACGCCAACACTGATTTAATCTGATTGAGAATCGAGGCCGACAGGGAGGAGAGCAGCTCTGGCAGGCTGGTCGGAGCGTCTCTCCCAGAGGCCGGACCCCCGAGATGAGCTCCGCCTCCAGCCACTGAAGCACCAGCCACAGAGAGCCGAGGTGTCGCCAGGGCCTGCCTCACGTCCGTCAGGCTGTCCATGTAGAAGCTCTGCAGAGCGCAGAGGTACTGCTTGACCCGCTCTGTCGCCGCCCGTACCACAATCTCAGTCCCTTGGTTTGGTACTGCTGAGCCTGGCAGCAGCTTGGCCACAGCCTGCAGCCTGCGGTGGAAGCGGTCGAGTGCGCGAACCAGGAGGGAGTTATCTCCAACGCCTTTCTCCTCCTGTATCCTCCGCTCCACAAGCGAGAAGTACCGAGCAGCAAGATCATCCACAAAGGTGTGCAGCTTGCCATTCGCCATCTGAGGAATATTTTTGGATGCTAGCTCACCTTTTTGAGCGTGATTAATAAACAGTTCTTGATAGGACGTAATTACTAAACATAAGCTGCTCACAAACTCATTGCAGCCTCTGTCTATGAACTCCAGGATGTCAGTGTTTGAGGAGGGAGAAGGAAGAGAGCTTGTTTTAGGGGAGCTATCAGTCGGAGATCCGACAGCAGCAGTGGAGGATGACCTGCGTGCAGATGCATCTTTCAAGGTTGACGTGGCTGGATATGGTCTTATCTCTGCTTCCAGGCCCTGGAGGTCTGACTCGAGGCGAGACCGTGCATGGCTCAGGAATTTATCACAGAGCTCTTCTGCCGGCTCGTCCAATTGTAGAAGCAGCTCCACACACTCTGATAAGTCTTTGGCGCTTGACCCACCATCCCTATGAGCACAACAAAGCAGACAGGAGGAGGAGATGTATAGTGAAAAAAAAGACAAATACCTTTTCTTTCTCCCATGCATTTCTTGTAAAAATTACTTTTTAGTGTCACATTTATTCAAATCTCTAATCTGAAGATGGGTTAAGAAATTTGCACCTGAACTTCTGTCGAAGCTCCTGTGCCAGCTTGTCCATGATGGCATGACAGTCATCCTGAATTCCCTTGAAGGAGGGCAGGTGGCTGTACTGCTGCAGCACACAGCGGGCACGGCGGTGGGAGCTCACTGCCTGAGCATAGGCTTGCAGCTCCAGGCACTTATTTAACCTCGCAGGCAGCTCAAACAGAAACTGAAGCTTCCTCAACAGAGTGTGAACCCCTGGGGTGGAACATGACAAGACAAAACATGTGAAAATAACCACCATGAAGTCCCTGACAACTGATCCAACAAAACAAACTGCCAGTTTTGGTCTTACCTGACAGTTTTGTTATCTGTGTGTGCTGGTCTTGAAGAGTGCCGCTGATCCGAGCACTGAAGTCAGTGATGGCTGCCATGTTAGCGGACAGACAATCCATTTCATCTTCCATCTTTTTGAAGTCATTCTTCATCTTTCTTATGGTGTCTGGCAAGAGGAAGCATGGATGGAAAGTTCAGCCAGGGCTTTTCAGCAGCACTCAAGATTTTTTTTGGCAACCCTTAAATACACTTTAGGCATCCAACCAGCACCAAAGGAAAATCACCAGCATCAAAATGACAGCAATCAGAAATAAAGTATATTTTAAACCAGTTCTTGCTTATTAGGGTTTCATTTGCACAAGAACAAAATACATTTTTTATAATTAAATGGTCAGAAATACTCATTCCCTTTAATGTAGGAGGACTAGTCATGCTTACTGCCATGTATAGTCACACCATTAAGGCCCATTCTGAGCTCAAGCTCTTGTTTTAACTGCCCAGGTTTGCATTAATTAACAAAAAGTGACATTTCGACAGCAGCGCTTCTTTTACCTGTAGCAGAAATAAACTTGTTGTAGTTTTCATACACCAGCGTCTGCATGTCACTGTCCAGAGAGCGGATCTGCTTCACCATACAGGTCTCCTGGTCCATCAACTCCGCAAGAGAGCACTCCCTTCTGAGCTGTATTTGGACACAAAACACATAATAATCACAAAAACAGTACATATAAAGTGAGACGGAAGAATTATTTACAATACTCTGAAAATTGCATTACGGCCATGTACAACATCCAAATGACAAAAACTGTCAATGTTTTGTAGAAGGCAAAATGTGTCACAACAAACTATTATAAATGAAGCACTGTGATGCTGCAAAGACGCCCAACAAATCATATTCTCCAGATGTAAGTAAACAGGCTTGTTTGGAAATCCAAAACTAATTCCACCAAAGTCAGGACTCACAATATCTGTTACAATAATATTTTTCAGCCCTTATGTAGAAGATATTTTGAAGTTACTTCATGTTTACTGTCCATTTGTTTCCTCAGATTAAGTGTCAGCTGGATGAGCACTGGCTAATTTATGCAATGTTTGGTAAAGAAAACGGGGCTGTAATGTGGCTCGGTGGTTAGCACTGTTGCCTCGCAGCAAGAAGGTCACCGGTTCACATCCCGGTGAGGACACCCGGGATCTTTCTGCATGGAGTCTGCAGTGTGGGTTCTCTGACTTCCTCCCACAGTCCAGAAACATATTGAGGTTAATTGGTGATTGTAAATTGTCCGTAGGTGTGAATGTGAGTGTGCTTGGTTGTCTGTCTCTAAGTGTGGCCCTGTGATAGACTGGTTACCTGTCCAGGGTGTCCCCTGCCTTCACCCTGAGTCAGCTGGGATAGACTCCAGCCCCCCATGACCCTAGTGAGGATTAAGCGGTGGATAGATACTGGATGGATGAGCACTGGCTAATTTATGCAACGTTTGGTAAAGAAAACAGAATTATATTTACAAAAAGTCTGCTTTCTTTCAGAATCACACCTGTCTAGATATGTTCCTGTATCCACATCCCCTTTCACAAATCCATTTTTAAAAACTCAATATGCTTTATTAGCATGTCAGATTAACGGTACTGCCAAAACCTCAAGCCTGGTGCAACCCAAAACAAAACTGAGATGAGAAAATTCAAGAACGAAAAACAATAGAGCAAATGAAGCCGATGTGTGTGTGTCATAAGTATAACAGGCTACGTCTAGACAGTTGTCATATTCAGTAATGTTTTTATTATTTTCCCCTCAGCTTGTCTTGTGACATGCAGTCACATATTGAGCTGCTATGTAAACTGTGTCACTCTCCAAACAGACTCTGTTGCCTTTACTGTCATCTCGTTTTTTGAATGTGGGAGTCAACATCTTAGAGTATTCATGGTTTATATCAATGTATTTGTCACATTTTCTGATGTTTGCCTTCATTCATGCATCTTCATGACTCCTCACTACGTTAAAGCCAATAGCACTGTGCACACTGATGCTGTGGTGTTTTGTGTTAGAACGACAAGCCTAATTTTACATGTCTGTGATTCTAATGCAATGCAAAAACCCTCCCTGTAAGTCATATGATAAAACAGCACAGCAGCAGTGTTCTCTCACCTTGTTCAGGTAGAGCTCCGGGTCGAAATGCGGCCCGTTGATGTCGCAGGGATCCAGAGACTCGGGCTGCTCCGGGGCCTTTCCCTCCTCGTTCAGCCCGTAGTACAGCTTCAGCATGCCGTGCACCCTTCGCCTCCTCCCGGGGTCCTCAGACGCCGCCACCGAGCCGTCAGCCTCACCGTCCATCCTGAACTCCGGCCAGCTGACAGACGAACAAGCGAAACGACGGTAAACACAGACGACGGACGTCCGGCTCACAGGCGACAACAAACAAGCACGACCGGAAAACGGTCCCTTCGTGCCCCAAAACGACTAATGTCTGTTTAGCTCAGCTGACTGCTTTAAATAACGAAGAGTTTCAGCATAAATAATCACAGAATATCATAATTTCTGTGACACACAAGCAGCTTGCTGGAAGCCGTATTACTTCCGGGTTTGCAGCCTATCCGGTGTCGCGTCGCTGCTGAGTGTGCGTAACCTAAGATATTTTGAACAAACTTTATTGATAACATGTTGACGCTACAATACAAACAGCCAAAACACAGGAAGTATTGCAAAAGCAAAAAATGAACTACCTACAACAAAAACACAAGCAGAAATCTATCTGTACAAACCAAAACGATGTCTATTACAGAAATTGAGAGAACAAATAAATTAAACAATAAATTAAATCTAATACAACGTGAAAAGGGAAAATGATATTTTGCAAACCAACTTAAATCATCTTTCTTCAGAGCTGAGGAGCTGTTTAAAAATACCCCATGGATGAAATCACTTAATGTCTTAAGTAAAAAAAAATGTGAAAAAGGAAACTGAACAAATTTGTCTTTATGAATATATTTGGCCACAATGCATAGCAGTTCATCAAATTAGCAGCTTCAGTGTTGTTAGTGTTTAAATCCAAAAATAGAGATTTGAGTCCAAAAGTTACTTGAACGAGGCCAAACACAACATAAATGAGGAAATGACGCAACGTCATGCTTGCAGAAGGAACCTAAAGGGGGAACATCCGGTATACGATTGTGAATTAATCAACTGCAGAGACAATATCTGTGCAAATGTTTATTATGAAAGTCTTTACTGGGGACAAAGACAGACACACAAACACAGACGATGGTCAGAAAGCTGAATGTTTAAGAAAACCATTTCATTTTATTGGCTAAAGAGTCAAAATATGTATGCAGCATTAACAGTAATGTTAAAGTGGAATAATATTTAGTGATTGCTTTTAGACATCTGAAAGTTTTGTGTTAATTGTGGTAACTAAAAAAGTTTTATGTGCATTTCAAACAATTTCCACAGGACTGATCACAAATCAGCTTTCTGAATACGCACAAACAGTTACACAACTCTTACATCCCTGCACACACACACTAGCAACACAAACACTTGGCAACACAACAGGTCAAATAATTAAGTTGTTGGTTTAACTGTAAAATAAATCTACAACTGTCAGTGTCTGAACAGAACGTGTGGCAAAAATACTGAAGGAAATGTCTTGCGTATGTCATTTTGCTAAAGACAGAGAAAAAAGGAAGATAACATGTGAGTTGTGTTGCAGGAAACACTGCAGACGTTAACAGATATTCTCTGAGAAACACGCCATCACTTTGCATCTGTTTATTAAAAAAAAAACAAAAAAAACATCAGACACATTTTAATAAAGGCAGGACTGACTGACCACTGAGAGAAACCACAATACACTGTTCAACATCAGTCACTCAGTACGTCCAGATTCTCACATCAGCTAGGAAGGGTGAAATGCAATGTGTAGTTAATAACATGGCAAATACATCACAAAAACAAGATCCATGTGTTAAACCGTAGCAACACCAAAACTGTCTGTTCCTGGTTTCCAAGCACCAAAACAGTCATTCAGATGCCAACTTAGTAGAAACCAAAAGGCACTTAAAGCTCCTGCAAAGTGACTGCTTGAGAAGGTAAAGATGCTAAATTAGACATATTTCTTCATTCTTGTATACAAACACTGACAAGTATATGAAAATGAAGGTAAAAATATTCTCTCATCAAAGCTAACAAACAATACAAAACAACTGGCTGATGTAAAAGGTTTATAAACAGTGTATTAGTATTAACAGTGCAGCATCACGTGATGTGGAGACTGTAGGAATGCCTATGCTACAGTGTGACATGCATAGTGTACGTTAGCAACAATATACCGGCCTGCTCGCGGTTCAGGGTTACAGACAGTAGCTGACATACAGGTCGAAGCGTAGAAAAGTAAGAACATTCTGCGGTTTGCATGCTGAGAAGAATGAGGAGGAAAACACGACCACATCTCAAACGAGGACACGTGTTCAAGTGGAAGGCGGTATTATAGAGGTGTGGACCTTCTTTCACGGCAGTTCGGTGAGGTGAGTTTGTACATTATGGCGAAAGGCAGAAACTGCAAGTATCAGCATCAGGGTGAAGTTCAGAGAAACATCTGGACGATTCTGCCAGGCGGCAGATCTGTCTCTGTAGTGTTAAGGTAGATTCATGTTAGACAGGCTGCAGCATGTCAGATAGGCTTGGTTTGGTGTGAAGACTGAGATTTTAACGGCATTGTTTAAACTAGGGGTCGACCGATTATCAGCCGGGGCGAATATCTGATCCGACATTCAGTTTGATTTTCCCAATCAAATGAATCAAGTCATCAGAATGTGCTACTTTGGCTCTGATACACCTGCCATGAGCAACGTCCCACCACAGCACTGACTGGTTGGACATTATGAGTATAAACTAATCGACACTAAAGGAAAAATGTTGAAAAGTTCTCTTTCAATTAAATACAAGCCAAACATAAATGAAGGCATTTTAAAGAATAAATGTTTATGTTCTTCTAAATTTTGACACCAAATATGTCTTTTTTTATGGCAAATGTATATCAGTTGCCCATATCAGTTATTGGTTTCTCAATGCTGATCACTGTTATCAGCTCTCAAAACACAAAACAAACATCAATCGACCCCTAGTCCAAAGTTGGTCTGTGCCCGATGCACCGAGCACACTCTGGGGATAACTGTGCATCCCCAGATTTGGTGAGCTGTACGTTTTCAGACAAACTAAAGTGATAAATGTTTCTTTACAGGCTGAAAAAAAAACAAACGGTCACGTCTTTGTACTATTACTACTTAGATGGTTTAGTCCTTAACAAACCATGTTAAAACCCACGGCGGTTTTTGCAGATGCATCGTCGCAACAGCATACACAGATAGTGTTCCCTGTCTTCTTTTAAATAAAGTCAACCGCAACGTCGTCGCTGTCGTGAGGAAAGCAGTTACTCTAAACAGCTGGTCTAAACTTGCACATACAAGCTGCAGTGTGAATCTGTTTAATCTAAGTTTAGTTGAAGTAGTACAGTACGATATTGCATCAGTTTGATCGGTCGGCCGAGCGAATGATAGTCGAGTCCAAACCCGTGCGTGGACGTCACTTGTACTGATGGTGCTGGTTTGGATATTTAACATTGATGATGACATGCTAACAGGCAGAAATAGCAGCCTGGTATGGTAAACTAGTTGCTAACGATAAAAGGCTTTATTACATTAATGTGTTTTTGTGAACTTAATAGTTTTTGATTCAAATTTGACTCTTTAATACCAAAGACACCGCGAGCACATAACTAACTCCTACAACTAGAAGCTGTTAATGTCAATCCTCTTCATTTAAATCTTTAGACTAAATTCACGCTATTCCGCTTTTGTAGATAAAATACTTTTTTTCTTAACAAGTTGGATATGTCACCCGCGCTTTCGTTCCATGATAACCGTCTTACACATGTCGGCAAATATTACAAACTCTTAAATACATCTACTTACAAGAAACTTCCACAACAAAGCCAATGCGCTCCCATACGGATGTTCTTAAGGTCAGTAACGGGGAACACCAAGCGTCTCTACCAGTACTTTACAAAGTGGCTTCACCCTTTCGTGAGAACAAGGCACTGGCAGTTTGAAAAGCAGAATAGTGCGAACACGCCCTTAGATCGTCCCCTGAAAGTGTTTGTCATGCTGACTGTGAGGAGTCTGTGGCGACTCTTACAGCTCGAGGAGGAGTAACAAAGTGTCATGGAGGGGGTGGGGGATGTATATTGCAACGGTCTTTTTGTTCGATCCCCGATAAAGTAAAAAGAGGTAACGCAGTGGTTATACTGGTTCGAGGTGTAACATATTTGAATGATAGCAGTAAAGCTGCTGTCGGAGCGCTGCAGAAAAGTCAAAAAACATCATACAGTTGGAATCGGAGTCACTGTTTGAGGAGTTCTCTAAGGCTTGTCTCAGGATTATGAAAGAGGTCCATCATGTGTTCTGTATGTAAGGCCATCGAATGAATAGCCACTTCAGTTCAACCTTGGAAGCATAGATCATTTTTGTTTTTCACATTACTGTACTCTCTTAATATACACAACTTCAGGAGATAAATATTGACACTCACACTTTGATACCTGTCGCTTGGTCCTTTACATGTTCATATATTAGCAGTGAAACGTCTCAAGCTCGTGTCAAGTCTTTTTTTCGTTAGATCTCAGTGTAAAATGTTCAGATTTGGTCGTCGAGGTGAACAGGCCGGAGCCGATCGGGGAGTCTAACCCTGCTCCAGGCTCTCTGTCACTTGCACAGCGGAGTAGGTGGTTGCCGACGCCTGCCGGGTGAAGAAGGACGCGGCTCTTTTCGGCTTTAGGCGTTTGATTTCTTTTCCTG